GAAGTGCTCCAAAAGTGGCAGCAAACAGCAACAAAAGGCGTTGGGGTGTGGCTAGTCTCTATTGTGTGTCTAGTTTTAAGTGCTCTTCCAGTGCATACTCGTATAAATCACATTGTAGAGCATTTTTACCCAATGCCCGTCTCGGGTCCGAGGGCTGCCTTGCAGGTAATGTCTGCAATAAAATATTTTCCTTTGGCCGGCAGACGCTTTAAGTGGATTTTGTAGACCACAAAATGGCTTAATAGGAGGAAAGCCCAAACTCCAGGTACCTACGCCTCACGATTCGAGCCCCCACCGCTCAGGTTTCATTAGCATTAACAGGCGGCCGACTTGTCAACACGCCCACATAGAAGCGCTGGCGACTAGAAACAATATTTATGGCCAGGTTAACACGACCTAGCATGTGCGTGTGTGTGTGTCGGTGTCCATGTGTGTGTGTGTGTGGGTGAGCTTGGGTCTGTTTGCTCACAAACCTGATTACAAAACTCATAAAGTCGCCATGAAATTCAAACAATGCGTTACGTGCATCGAATGCTAAGAGTCAACCAAAGGACAAAGCCCAAGCAGCTCGTACTCGTGCAGGACCCATGCATAAGCAACATTTTTGTTTGACCCAGGATCCAGCAGGAGTTGAAAGCGCTTTTTGTTCACGTTGTTCACGTGTGTGTGTGTGTGTGTGTGTGTCCGTGAGATGTGTGAAGGAATCTCTTCGGCCTGTTTATTACATTTTGATTATTGCAATCTCGTTTACTCTGGCCATGCCCATCCGCAGCCCTAACCCTAGCGCCCGAACATCAAAGGATCTGGGCGCAGATAAAACTGATTTACAGTTGTGGAAAAAGTTGAGAGAAACAAATGAAAACAGCATTAAGGAAAATCAAATCAGAGAATGCCGCACACGCACAACTTTTGCCAACTTTAAAAGCATTTTAACTGCCACAAAGAGCATCGCCACGGGCAAGGGACAGGAAGAGGGGCAGGGGCAGGAACAGGACTGCGGCTAGGGCTCGGAATCTACTCGTAAATATAAATATTAATGCGGCTGGCCCGCAAAACGATTTGTCAAAAGCGGTTCTTACTTGTGGATTATGAATACTTTGCTTAAATTTAGCTGACAGCACAAAATTATTACACAATGATTAATATTTATTTCCGCAGGCCACTGAGCAGGCCAGTCCAAGTCCCAGTTCCCAATGGATGCCAAGTCCAAGTCCAAGTCCAAGTCCGAGCTGGTTTCTTCGGCCACAACAAGTGACAATGTGCTGAATATAAATAATTTCCTTTTCGCTTCTTTTCCTGCCGCTGCTCAAAAAGGCATTTAATTTAGATTTATGCTCGGCACGGCACTGTGACAGGAAGAGCAAACACAAACACAGGACCCGTTGCCTGCAAAAATTATGATATTTGCCATCTTCTGAGCCTTCGTTGGACTGCTCTCTGATAACGTATCGAACAATAAAATAGCCCCGGTATAGGCTGACGGCTGCTGACAGCGGTTGGGGTCGTGGCCAGGCAGGAGTCGGGTCTGTGTCCTGAGCCATAAGTCGACGCAAAGCACATAAGGATATGCGCAAATAAAATGGCAATAAATCAAAACGATTGACGATCTCATGATGCGGCGGCTGGCCTCAGCGATTAGGGCCTCCACTGCTGTGATTTCTCATATAAATCGACTTGAGGTCGAGAAGTGATTTTGATTGTTATTTGTTTGCCATCCAATCGGTTTGCCAACTTCTTAGTTAGTTGCCTGTCTGACAGTGAAAGTGGAGGTGGAGTGGGAGTGGGACTGGGAGTGGGAGGAGTCGCTATTTGACACGCAATTTATTGCATCGCACTCCTCGAAGGAGGAGCATCATTGTTGTCCATAATTTATGCCGAGCGGCATGCATGCCAACTAAAATCAGTGCAGCTGAAATGCGAACTCCGACTCGCAATCGAAATCGCAATCAGAATCAGAATCGTCAATGCTGCTGCGAGTTGGGGCAACTCCCGCCTGCCATTGTCAATAAGGAAACTTCATTATAAATTACTCAACTGACAGTTGCAGGCAGACGCCAGAGAATAATAATAAAAGCAGCTCCGCGTAGGCGGAGAAGTCAAGCTCCCTGCCAGCAGGCCATTGGGGAAGCTTTTACCCACTCCAGTGATGGCATCAATCTGCTTAACCGACACTGGCCGTGCCGTTTCTAAATCAAAAGTCTTGGCCACAGCCATTCGTTCCACTCTATATCTCTCTCTGTCTCTCTCTCTCTCTGCTGATGGTCATTGAGAGCGATTGTTGTGTTGGAAATTGCTGTATAATTGTGCGGAAGGTGGTGGGGGCAGGACTGGATGTCGATGCACTTTTTATTGTAGAGTAGCAAGCTGAGGCAATGAATCACATAAAAAGCAAATGTCGCATCGTTAGGTTAAAAGCTTTATGCAAATTCCTTCATCTTCCTATCATCATATTCCATTTTTTTGTTGCGATGAAAAGTGAATAAAAATTGTATTGAACAGGGGCGACGACAGGGCAGACAGGGCATGGCTAAAGCAGCAGAAGGAACTGTGCAGGAGCTACCCTGAAGTGTCTGCAATTAGGGGCAATTGTTTGAGAGAAAGTGTCAGTCAGCTGAGCAGTCGAGTACACAAGGCACTTATGTCCCCTCAAGAGTATTGTTATTGCTTGTTCGACTGTGAAGATATTGTTTAGGGGCTCCATGGCTCATCGTATTGTATGGCATCACAAGAGAGAACTGCAGCATACATATTAATTAGCTGTGGCACATTGTGCACTCTCGTCTCGAGTGGCGGTTAATGTAATTTAATCACCTGTGAGACTACAAATGAACACAATTTAGCGGATTGTTTGCTGCAAAATCCACAACTAATTGGGGATTACTTGGAGTGTATCTTTTGGGATATACTTTTAGTGAACTTTCATGACAGAGTTGTTCGCTATTTTCAATGCTCACTGTACATACAAAGTTCTAGCATATGCTTACGCGCGGCAGCGGCAGTTCTTTCGTCTATCTATCCCGCCTTCTTCGTTGCTGCACTTTTCTGTCGCTCTCAACTTAGCAGCGCCGCTACCTGCTCCAACGCTCTCTTTGCATCGCTTTCTCTCGCACGCCCGTTCTTTCGTCTATCTCTCCCGCCTCCTTCGCTGACGCACTTTTCTGTCGCTCTAGCTAAATTTCGTGCGCAGCTCACAGCAGCCGCTACCTGCTCCAACGCTCTCTTTACATCGTTCTGTCTCGCTCGCAACAAGGAAACTTTGCATAGGGCACAGGCAATTCAAACGGTCAGCCTGCAGGTAGCTGATCGTAATAGCTTTCAATTATCTTCTGTGTTTGACTCTACCCACGATCGATTTCGTTTGCAAAATAAATTGTACAGTTACGACATCGAACCTCACTGGCTATTTATAAACTCAACAGCTCAAAAGCTCCATGGCATACATTTATGTACACATGTATGTACATATGTACAGCTGTAAAATTTCAAATATCAAATTGAATTGGCCATCCCTTCATAATCACAGATAGCAGATAAACGACAGCTGGACTGGGGCACAATTAGGATGCTTTGTTCGCACATTGGAGCTCACGTTTTATGTATGAAGCTTAACAAAAAATGAAAATGAAAAAGAGAAGCAGAAGCAGCAGCAAAATTGAAATGCGTGCCAAGAGGCGCAAGGAGAGGCTTCTTTATTGGCACCAGTCAGGCATCCGCGTCCTGCCACTGCCAGATGCCTGCGGTCGGTCAGTGGACATTAGGCGTGCCCGAGACCATTGTGGACAACGGGTGCTCGTACGACGGCGTACACGAGCATTATGTTCCGGCGTGTACATGAGATGGGGTCATTAAATACACATTACCATGCACCATGCCAGCGCGTGCAGAGCGGAGGGGGAGGTGGCGATAAAGACACAACAGTCAAACGGCTAAAGCAGGCAGCGAATAGCTATTAAAAAGCACCGAAGATACCCGTAGACAGGGGACAGCAGCAGCAGCAGCAGCTACAGTGGCAGACATAACAAATTACAACATTTCGACAGCAGCAAGAGGAGCGGCGGGCCAGGGGGATGGGCCAGTGGCAGTGGCTCCAGTCGGGCTCCATCCAACCACCGTTCGATGGCAGCTTCAGGATGGTGTTCGGTTTCAATTGTGCTGGTAAACGTGACTCCAAATTGGCTACCAGCGAATAATTCATACGAAACACTTTCGCACCGTGTGCCTTGCCATTAGCATCGTGGCTGCCCACCCACCCACACACGTATCTAGCAACCCATCGGCCCGAACCGAACTGAGGGTACGGCACGATGAGTCCGTTGCTGGACTCGGTTACGCCCCGTATAACCTCACGATTGCATTTACAGCAAATTATTTATGGCTGCGACAGACACGAACAGAAGAGCGAGAGCGGGAGACCGGGAGAGCGGGAGAGGGTACTGCGCTGCCAACTTCACGTCTATCAATATTTTATGAAACTCTGTCTGCAGGACGCTCCACGATGCCGCCACAGACAAGGGGGAGAACGAGAGAGAGAGAGACTCAACTAGGACTTGGCTGAGGGTACGGTATCTGCTTACATGGAGTCGGTTGCCTGCCTGCCTGCCTGCCTGCCTGTCTGTCGATATCCGGTTAGATGAGTATCTAAATTGCCTTTACTGTTGATGAATTAGCGCCGGCTGCCGGCTGCCGGCTGCCGGTTCCCGTTCTCCATCTCCAACCCGGGGCCAGCATGCTGCGAGTGCGTGCCTGGACGGGTAAGATAAGCTCCCATGCCCAGGCCCATAATGGAAATTTCAATTTGTTTTGAATGATTTTGTGCACATCAAATAGGCCGGCAAAGCCATAGATTGCTGCCAATCCCAATACGACCTTGGCCGCAGGCAGGCTGGACCCATCCAGCAAACCAAATGCAGAGTGCAACACAAAGTGGGGAGCAACAAATGGCAACATTATGCCAAAGTCTGACTTTGACTGAAACACATTTGTTTTAACGTGTTGCCTTGAGTCTAAAGTCAGTTGAAGTCCTTGAAAATTCGCAGTAAGAAACGCAAGAATGCTCTCCAGAAAGGAGCTCGTTGCCATTATCCTCATGCTGTCGGCGGTTAGTTGCACCTGAGTATCAATTGTTGAGCCCAACCCAGCACAGTTCTGTGTCCATTTGCAGCTTCTCTCGGTGCTGAATGCCGCCGTCTTTGCCAACACTCTGCCCATTTATGTCAGTTATGAGCAGCTGCTGCAGCAGGTCGTCTGCGTTGGCACCGCCTACCTCTGCCTCCTGTACGCCCTGAGCACCTGGATGTACCATTCGAATTTCTCCCGCACGCGCCAGCACATGCGTTACGCGGTGAGTGCTCTGTGCCGGCTCCCAAATCACATTTTACGACTTCCTCCTGCTCGTAGCTGCTGCTGACGCTGCTGCTGATGATTGTGGCCAATCTGGTGGGTGCGATTGCGCACATGAAGCTGCTGTCCTTTTCCCAGTTCAAGGCATCCACAGACATCAGCGGCCTGTTCTCTCCGTTTGATGTTGCCAGCAAATCCGTCAGCCTGGCTCTATCGATTCTAACCATTATGCTGCTGCTCCTCGTCTTGATGGTGGTCTTTGTCACGATCATTAGGAAGCAGAAGAAGCTGAGTCTTCAGATGCACAAGAGAGCAGCGGCACGCAAGTCCCAGAAGCAGAAGCAGGAACAGAAGCAGAAGTCCTGAGTGCAAGTAAAGTTTGCTTTTCATTTCATGTCGTTGCAATGTGGCGCCGCCCTGGCAATAATATAAATATTATACGCAGACATGGGACACACACAGGTGTGTCTGTCTGAGCGCAGGAGACACTGCCAGCAGCTGAGGCCAGCAGCAGTCTGAGCAGGAGAACTTCACATGGCTCCTTGTGTATTGCATTTTGCATAATGAACCCGGCAGACGGCAGACGGCAGACGGCAGACAAACGAAGTTAAACACAAAACTTAAAGGCTTTTCCATCCGAACTTAAAGTCAAGTTTGCAGGGAGAAGCAGCAGCTTCTGGATGGGGTGCGGATGTTTATCAAAGGGGTTGGGCTTGTGGGTGGAGCAGCCTAATTACGCTCGAGTGGCTGCCCATCAGGAGTGACATTTGGCGTGGCAGGCAGCTTACAATAAAATTTGCCAGCTAAGTTATTGCCCAAGGAACCAGGCCCTGTGGCAACTGAAGTCGAAAGTAATTTGGAATTTAATTGCGTACAATTTAGAATGGCGAAATGTTTGGCGTGCGTTTAATTAACTGAAAAATAAAATAAAACGACAGCAAAAGGACACTGGCACTGAAAATGTTTAACTAATTAAATTTTCGGTAAATTCCATGACAGTCCTCGGCAGTTGGCAGTCGCCAGTCGCCAGCTGAGCGAACTTCCGAATTTATTGTCGCATTTAATGGGCAGCGCATGTGGTTATGCCCCGAGCCCCCTGGTGCTGCCTCGTAAACCCCTTTTCGACGAGAACTCTTCTGAAATTCTGATTGTTTGACTGTCGGTCGCTCCTCTCAGCCAAACGAAGGCAATAAAATGTCCGGCAAAAGTGCAGCTTGCGTGCAGAAAAATGATTCATGTAAGCTGATAAAATTTTAATCACATTTCACGTATTAACACGTAATTATTAATGCCTGATAAATGTCGTCAGTTGGTTAAATGTGAAAAAGTCGCAATTAATGAACAATATTTCGGCCCTCAGCCCTCACACCTTTTTTTTTTGTTAATTTCAGCCTTTACCGCATTGAATTTCCACGTTTTCCATGGCCCTCATTTCTTTTATTTATGCAGCTCCAAGCTACCTTTACAGGGTACCAACAGATCACTTCGTTTTCATTTGCTTCACTTTTATTATTATTATCTGCCTGTCTGCCTGTCTGTCTGTCTCTTCTTTTATTGGCTTATTTTCTTTTAATTATGCACAACAATCACGAATGTGGGTTAATTAAGCAACCATCATCGAATGCTGGCCTGCAGGACTCCACAATGCAGTCAGAATGCAGTCCGTGTCATTGCCGTGTCAGAATTGAAATGCTGCACAAGCGGAGTTGCAAAAGTTTCTGCCACAAATTATTCCAACATATGTCTGGCATCTGGCGATGCTTTTGTGCTTCCTCCTGTTCGTCCTTTTTTGTGATTTTACCCAACTGTCAGTGCCCGCTGTGTGTAGGTCGAAATTTACGAGCCGCGGCCTGGCTGCAACAGCTTTCGTCTAATTGTCATTGGCATTATGCCAGTGGCAGCGAGAGGCAAACATTTAGCATGAGGCGCAGCCACGCAACTTTCAACTGCAAACTTAAAGTCCCAAAAAGATTAGAGGCTGAAATGGAAGGTCTCGATGCTCGTTGTTTAGCTAAAACAACTCCATTTAATTCTACATTTCCAGCCAAAACTCCACAGTCTTTAGGTTCTGTTAGGTTCAAATAAATCAAGTAGCCAAAGCCTTAACGTAAACTAACATCTCAGCCTTTATTTATACGTTCCCCAACGAGTCGCCTTTATATTTGTGTACTTTCAGCTCACAATTATCAAACATTTTTCCATCAGTTGCGGCAGTAATTGTAGGCAATTCTCAGCCCCGTGGTAGATGAGAAATGAACCCAACCGCAGGAGAAGAGCAGCCCAAGGCAGCAGGAAACGTCAGTCCCTTGCCCCGGCGACGCAGCAACAAAAAACTGAAGCCCTACAAGTGCTGTTTGTGTGGCAAATACGTGCGTTGCGGCGTCATTACCATCTGTGGGCACCTTTACTGCTGGAGCTGCCTGTGGCCGCAGCTGCATGATGAGGAGTTTCCCAAATGCTGCCACTGCCTGAGGCCACTGATCCTGCACGAGGACATCTTTCCTTTGCACTGCGATGGGCCCAACGATGAGGCCGGCTGCAGTCTGCTGGCCCAGCCTGGCAACGTGCCACGTCCCGCGGGTTTCCACTTCAAATATGAGAATGTTTCCAATTGGTTTACCTTCTGCGAGCCGAGTGATAGTTTTCTCTCCACCAGCCGCAATTTGTACAGTGTGTTGGGAGCTCTGCGCCATGAACATCCACGTACTCTGCGGCTGTTGCAGATCCTCAAGTGGATCCAATTGCTGTGCATCCTTGTCCTGTGCCTCTTGTGGCTCGTTTAACTAGAGCACAATAACCAAAGACAAAATAAATGTACCAAAAAAGCCAGCAGAAATTATTCGCTGTATTTAGTTTCCCCGAAGCTTGGCAGCAGCTCGCCAAACTTGGCGCAAACACCAAAATGTTTGATCAACTGCAAGGCTAAGTTGAAGTTTGTGGCATGCAACAGGAGCAAAGTCAGCTGAAACAATACATTCCGGCGGCAGTTGGCCAAAACTTGGACCCAAAGAAAGCAGCAGCAACCCAAAAGGTCGAAAACTTGGCCCTCAATCGGCGAACTTCATTCATGTTGAAGCTTCGAGAACTTGAGAGCAGCCTCACTCAGAAACTCAGAAGTTCAGCGGCTTCTTGCACCTTGAGGCAATAACTGGAAGAGCGAAAGGCAGGCAGAACCCAAGCACGCTGCTCTGTGGGCAAATGATCGGCGGAATTGGGTTTGTTTTGGCAATTGGTGGTCTCGGCAAATGTGTCGAAAAAATCCTCCATATTATCGCCGCTTAAATGTCACTCTCCGCGCATGTGAAAATCCATTCTTTTGGCACATTTTAAATGGCATTCCAGTGCGGAGAAACTTAATCCCCGATGCACGCGCGCAGACACGAGCGAAGTCCACATCCTGGCTGGCTGGCTGTCCGTGCATCGATTTCCTTTCCCTTTTGTGCCAGCCAATTGGGACTTGCAGCAAGCAGAGGCAAATATTTAGCAGTAATTCATTTAAATCAGCAATGGTGGCGGCATCCCATCAGCATCAGTTGGCTGCCGGAAGGGCCACTGCAGCCGACGGCATCATTAAAATCTTCCGCTTGCTGCGCAACAAAGCGCCCAGGAAGTTGCTCGACAACGAGCGTGTCCCCGTGTTTCCCTTTTCGTCTTTTACCCAAAATGTCTCACATATTATATGGCTGGCACACACGACGTATACGTAATTATGTGCGACACACACAGGGGAACGGGTTGTGTGGGGAGGGGGTCTGACTGCCTGCCTGCAGTAATTTTCATTTCAATTACAGTATCTGACGCCTAAGCATTTGAAAAGAGAGCGTCATTTAGGGTCCGCTCAGGCAGCAGGCAGCAGGCGCCCTTCCTCTCCCCACGTCGCGGCTGGCCAGCAGCAGCAACGGTAATGTGGCTTTTATTCATTACATAATTACAGCTGCGTTTGCACTGCGGCATGTGCCCTGCACCCTGCCCACCAGCAGTGATTATGAGTAATTGTCAAGGTTAGTTATTTGCCAGGGGAATGCTTTGACAGTTTGGCTGCTTTGGTGCATTCTTTGCACCTTTAAGCTGAGACAGGATACACTTTAAGGGTGTGGAAGGGAAACCTACTCTAAACAGCCATAAATAAGCGGCCAGCAGAGCAACAAATTGTGCACAGACAATGCACAGCCAGCCCCCTCCCTTCTTTGTGCAAAATGGCATGCACTATGCACGCTTCCGTTTCCGTTTCCGCTTTGAGCCTTCTGCAGGCTGCCACATGTATCTGACTGTCTGCTGTCTGTCTGTCTGCGTGGGTGTGTTACAGTCTGGCGCACATGGCGCATACTTGATGCATAACAAATGGCTGCTTAGTACATTGTTTAATTTATCAAGCATGAACTATTTATGCCACAACTGCGAGTGTCGAGTGTCCAATGCAAAATAAAGTGTTGGCAAAATTCGAAGCTGATACTTTTGGGCTACACAAATTTGGACACTCGAAGAAATTTAGGCACTGAAAGGGAAGGATATTCAGCATATATTAAGGATGATTCTTTGTGTTGGCTGGAGAGAGTTTTCTGTGTAAATAAGTCGAACGCATCGCAATTTATGTGCCTCAAAGGGCACAGAGCCCCAGTTGGCCTTGCTGCACAGGTGTCTCTTTTGGCCATAAAATATTGGCATTGTTAGCAGCACAAACTTATTGCGAAATGTTTGTTGAAATGAGAGCGAGAGAGAGCGAGAGTTGCAATTGAATTGCGTTGCATTCATTTAGATTTATTTCAGTTGATTAATGTGCAGGCACGAGTGTGGGCTAACGAGCAGCCGCAGGACTCTGACTCTGACTCTGCCCTGCTTTTGGCAGTTGATAATTGCTGGCAAAACTCAAGCGGCAAAGCTAGAGAGGCTGTGGCAGAGTCAGCAGCAGCGGCTGAGGCAAGCGAGATTGTGTGAACACAATGGCACGTCTGAGACAGAGTCAGAGAGTGGAGCCAGGAGGCAGGCGACAGGCGACAGGCGGCAGGCGGCAGGTACATGCTGAAAACACACAAAGAAATGCACACGACATTGTCTGCGGAGCAGGCTAACGAGTTCAGTTGAAGCTGAGAGCGGGCGAAGCCGAGCCCGAGTAGATTATCATTCAAAACGTGCACCAGCTCGCACACACACCTGACTGGCCCCTGTTGAGCTCACTTTAAGCCATATTGTGTATAGATAACGTGTCTATTCAGACGAGAACTGATACGATGACAAAAACAGATGCAAAAGGCAGCAGCCACCAGCAGCAGTAGCCCCAAAACAGGAGCAGCAGGGAAGAGCTTCGGGTGGGGGCCAGACATAATCTTGACATCCTCTGTGGCTGCAGTAACAAGTGGGGCATGAGGCGGAAGCTGCAAAAACTGTTGCATACTTTCATGCGATGCCACAAGCCATTGCCATCGCTACCACCACGGATCAAACACGAACACCGCCCAATCCGATCCGAAGCGACCCCGAGACAGGCCCCAGCCGACCCCCAAGCCAGTGTCAGAGTTGCTCGACGCTTATCACCGCAAAAGTTTTTACCACTTTAGAGTCAGCTTGGGAGCTGCCTGGGAGGGACAGAGACAGACAGACAGAGAGAGAGAGAGAGAGAGTTTTTTCTTGTGCCCGACTACTGATGTGCCGGAGCTGTCAACGCTCAAAGTTTGCCGCCAGAGTGGAGAGGAATTCGCCAGCTTTAAACATTCGCCATTGAATTATACATAAATGGAGCTGAGGGGAGCCACCTCCGCCGCCGACAACGGTTTGAGCTGGTGCGAACCTTCGACGCTGACACCGAGATTGTGCCGAGGAACTGGCAGGCTGTCGGACATTTGTTTGCCCTAACTTTTCTCCATTTTAATTGCCATTATCACTAATTACAAACTGCCACACACTCAACCCACCGAACGTCATCGAATCAAAGGGTATGCTCCGTGCCCATATCCTGCTGGGATACCCACAATTGGCAGACAAATTCACTAATTAAAGCAGACACGCACACACAGTGCAGCAGCCCCATGCCCAAGCCCCAAGCCCCAAGCCCCAAGTGCAACTGCAAGCGGCAGTGCCAGGAGGCACAAATCCAAGCCCCTGGGCACAGTTTTGCTGTCGGCCAAAGTTATTTTCCAATTTGCAGCAGGCATTCGGAGGGGTAGCCAGGTAATCGGTCAGGGGATAGCTACAGGTTGTTCGCCACATCAATTCTGGAAGGATAAAGCGTTAAAATGTTTCGTTTATTATAAAAAAAATTGGCATTAAGGGAACAATTCAGGGAGGAATATCTAATGCCTATTTTGAGTGTGTAAAGTTACATGTAATAGACCCAAGAAAGTGTTTTCATGTATTCCTAATGCTGTGATTAATGGTCGAGTGGAACGTGTCGCGACATTCACTGAATATGAACATCTATCTCTGTCTGCCTTTGGGGAGAGATGGAGAAGTCCCTGCTCTAGATAAATCTCACGCACATGCGATCCGCAGGCAACGCAAAAACGAGCAACGAATTCGGGCGAATTCCTCAGCAGAACGCAAAAGCAAGCACGACGCAGAGCGAATTCAGAGTAGAGCGAATTCAGGCGAGAGCGGATCAATGAGAGAGATGCCGGGAAGAGATAAAAGAAAAATGCTAAAAGTTTCGGTCCAGCTTTTATTCACATTGGAGCGGCTGCCAAAGTTTCAAATTTATTGTATATATTTAATTCGCAATTTTGATGTTTGATTGAATAATTGCACGCTGCGCCTGTTGTTTCCTGGGCTCCAGGACAAACTTTAATTAAATTCGCACACTGAGCTCTTGACCCCCCCCCCGAAGCTCATTGAGCCAAGAGAGCCGTGCGATGGCTACTAACTGTTTTTGGTTGGTGGCCTGAGCTTGAAGCTCTTAAATTGTTCGGCCAATGGCTGGAGCAGATGGAAATTCCCGTGGGGGACATTTAACTTTTCATCCGTCAAAATGCTTTCGACAGCGCTGCCCAAAGGGAAAATCGTTTTAGCAAACAGAAAGAAAAAATGAACAAAAAGGAAATGTCCAGACAGACGACAGACATCGGTCTGTCTGCGATAACATTCCATCGAAGGATGAAGCCTTTTCATTATTCTTTTACCATTCACATTTTAAGCAAATGAATCTACTTCCCCAGAGACAATGAAGCTGCCTCCAATCGCGATTCGCGACTCGCGACTCGTGACTTTGTTGCCAGTGTTGCCGCTGTCTGCACTGCTATAAATCTAAGGATAATTGTGTAAAGTTCTGAGCAGAGTGCAGAATTAATTCGTTTATCCTTTTTTCGGCTAAATTGGATTATAATTTATTTTAATTGGCAAAAGGAAAATGCACACATAAAACAAACAAAACAAAGCCAGAGCCAGATCCAGAGCCAGAGAACAGATCTCAGTCTGTCTGTGTCCCAAATGAAAATTGCCCACAAAATGACGCAGTCTGATGCCGCTTTCATTAGACTAATTGTAACTCTGGGTCGGGCGTGCGTACGAGTCGAGTCGAGACCCATCTCGGTGATTAGGCCTTTGCCTTTACCTTTACCTTTGCCTTTTCTGGCCAAAAGTGGCACGAAACGATGCGTGACAGTGTTAAATTGTAACCCGAAGGGGGTGGGAGACATGTGTGCGGCTTTTAATTAGAGCCAAACAATGGCAGGGGGCAGCAGGCAACCTTTGGCTCACATATTAACATATGAACGCAAAACTAAAAGGCCTCCTCCACACCGGATGGACGGAGGCCCGGGACAAAGCCAAATGCCTGAGGCCAAAGCTACAGCCAATGTCCAAAGAGAATGAAAGATATACCTGGCCACCCAAATCCTGGCCAC